AAAGATTAGCCAATGAAGCTGAAATATAGCTATGGCAGCTAAGATGTGTACTTAAAATAGGGACAGCTAATATCGTTGTTGCTGAACTTAAATTTATTAGTTATTAAAATGTAGGTGCTGCAGCAAAAAAAATTTGCTGCTAGAATCAAATGACGTTTAGCTAATCCTATTGAGGAATATTTAGCAAAACTTTTAAAGTTTTCGGCAAATTCAATCCGTGTGCCACTTTCTTAGCTACTCCTGTTAAAGTACGCTTTTAGCTAATAAAATTGCATCTCACAACAAATATATTTTATCTTTAATAGCTAACTTTTAGCAATGACAGCAAAGTTCAAACTAGCTACTGATATTTAGCTGATAATGCAAAGTCATTTTTTTTGTGTGTGTTTATTTAAGTTTTTTTTTCGCAAGTCGAGCAATCGCGTTAATTTGATTGCCTAAAAATGGCGAACGGATTGAAAATGACGAATTGGCCAGACATCGGGTCCGAGTGCTTCTACATCGTGCGATTAATTTGTGTATCCCGGACCCAGGCTCGATTGCACTTGCACAGCGGCGGTGCTGAACGTCGATTTTGTTAACAAGCTGTACTACAGCTGCGCTACGTCACGATGACTCGCGAATTTATGATTATTTAATGCAGCCACAAGCAAAATGCGCCATCGCTTTGCGATAATTTCATTTAGCCGTTAATGACCCGGATAATGTTGGACGATAGTAAATAAATGTTGACACGCCGGACATCTGTAATTGACGCGTAAACGAATATACTTTGTTGACACTATATCGAAATCACTTCTGCAATTAACGCGTAAACGAGATATACTTTGTTAATACTATCGAAATCATTATCCGACCATCAGCGCGCGGGTCCGAAAAAGTCAGGTTTTAACGTAAAACAAGCGGGAAAGTAAAAAGTGTGAGTTCACAGAGCGCTCCGCTGTTTCTTACGACTAAAGAAAATACACGGTCTATTTCGAGAGAGACGTAAAGAAAAATTCAACGAAGGTCCTTACAAGTACGATACTTATTCCGGTGTAATTGAAATTAAAAAAAAATAGGGATTGAAGTTAAAGTGAAACGAACAAAATGACGGCGGTCTCTCTCTCTCTCTCTCTCTCTCTCGACGATAAAGACGATCCGATCTCCGGAATCAATTTCCGAGAGACTCGCGAAGCGACCCCGATGTGGATCAAAAATACACGCAAGCGTGTATCTGCGCAAACGTATCTCCGCGCTCCCGAACCAGTCCCGGCGACCTTAATACGCGTAGACGATGTCCTCGCGGTATCCTTGAATTGTTCCGATACGGCCGCGAAAGAATCTCTCTCCTTCCCTTGCTCTCTCTCTCTCTCTCTCTCTCTCTCTCTCTCTTTTCTTCATCTGACAATGCTCACACTGCATGCTCCGGTCTCTGTCTTTTTCTCGTTATCCACATTGTCGAAGTCGGGCCGCGATGCACTGCACAAGTCGGTCGCGTCTCGCCCGCGATCCTCATCCTTGGCCCAGCTTTATCTTCAGCTTTGACCTCCTCGCCGCCGCCGACGCGTCGCACCCGCGAAATTACGCGGAATTAATTGGCTTAACGCTTAAACCCGAATAAGTGCAGGAGTGCGTTCTCACCGCCCGCGCCGCCGCGCGCCGCCGCACGATACGGGGAAAATTAGTAACCTGTTGTTTGCCGTCTCCGGTGTTTGCCGCGGCTTCGCACGGGGAACTCGGTGCTGCTTGCGCTGCAACTTGAAGTACTTAGCGAGCGTGGCAGCGTGGAGAGACCGAAGGTCGAATTGAATTAAATTTAACGGGGGCGATTGTGCAAATGAGTGCTCTAGCGGAGAACACGCGGAGGTTGATTTATCTTTAACTTATGGTTATCTTCAAAGTAAGGAAACTATATTGACGAAATTGAAACGAAAGGAATGCTTTAATTGATAAAAATCGAGGCTGATAAAAAAACATCAACTAATTAATAAACAGTCTAAAATATCCCGTATAGTTTCGATCATTAAATTGATTATTTTTTTTCGTATATTGCAATACTTAACATGTACTTCATAATACTCCGTTAAATGTGATTGTAAATGTGATTTAATTGGCTTAAATTATTGTTAAAAACTTTCGCCAGATTTTTTTTGTATCTTCTGAGATATTAACTAACTGTTTATTACGGAGGCAAAAGTATTACTCGGTTCTTTAATGCTCATAATAAATGTATCGCGTTTCGGGGATATTTACGACATTAGTGCGATGGCGAAGATCTCTTTTATTTTGCGCGGCGAAATTGCGGTGATCCGCAACGATTGCCGAAGAACCGTATTAAATGGTTAATGAATTCGACGGGCAGCGGTTCGGCACTTACCGCGTATCGGTGTGCGCGGGCACACCAATCGATTGTCGCGTGACGTCATTCACAGAGACCGGCATTCGTCTTCAACTTTGGCCTTTCGACGCCCTGATATTCGATTCACGGCTTGTCTACACGTGTCGGCCGAATAATTGCGTTTTTACGAAGCCAATTAAATCGCGAACAGTGTCGCGAAGTGTTATTAAATAAAATAAATTACGCGGTAGCCGCGACTCCATTTTTCGGCTGCATTGTATAATTTACGATCTACAGCAGCTAAATATTTTACGATCGAATGATAGATTTATCTCTGAGTCCGAGTTATTTAAACACATGGAACAGCATTTATATCATTTTGCACCGAGTTTTGCAGTTTTGTTTATTTACTTTTTAAATTCATTTGTTAATCATTGGTAAACATGTAATAATATTATTAAATATGTATTTATTCACAATTTATAATTATATTTGTTTATTTTGTAATTATTTAAATATGTATTATGTTATTACTTGTATAAATATTTTTGTAATTAAATATAATGTAGTTTTATTTGTAGAATTATTTTTGTAATTAATTAGCTGTAATTAATTAGATCGCAAGAATACCAAATACCAAGTTTAAAAAATTTTTAAATATTATATTAACTTTTGAAATGTTGAATCAACGCGCCGTTTACCTTTTTAAATTTACTTTTATAATTGCCCTTATAACTGCAATTTTAAATTCGCTACTTCTACAGCTCAATGACAAATTTGGTTCTCGACATTAACAGTGTCTTTATCTCAGATTTGCACGCGGGTATCCGGTAAGGATACTCAAGAGAGCCGGCGTTTTTCTTAATTTGCGTCTTTGCGAACCTTGGTTTTCTACTTACGCGGAAGCTATGGCATTTAATGACGTCTGATAAAATTACGCAAGAAAAATCGGAAAGTCGACGTTATCACGTTGCGTGTGTGTAACGTAACGCGTAAATATGCGTTAACGCTGCAACGTTAAACAGGCGCACTATAATCAGAATTGTAAATTTGTCGTGTTATAATTAGAATTGTAAGAATTTAGCTTTTTTTAATTTAGCAACGGATATCTACTACAAGCTAGAATTCGCTTAAGTTTTTCATTTCTGTTTATTTAATTTTCATTCGATTTAATCGCTGATTTACCAGTTGCGTTACACATCTACACATTGCCACCACATTAGGATGAATCCAGAGCCGTAATACGTACGCTTCTAACGGTAATCAATAATCGCAATAATCACAATAATAATAGTAATCACACTATTGGAATGTAGACATTGCTGGCTTTATCATCGAATAATTGATAAGCTGATAGATTACGTTGTGGAGATATAGAATATTGTAGCGTAGAAAATTAGAGAATTTATGAGCGCGCGTCATGTATCAATTCAAAACATTAGAAAGAGAGGCAGGAACGGATCGAGCGATCCGTTGGGAGCAACGTTCTGTACGCGCACAACATAAGTAACACAGTGAACGCATGATATCGATCACGGCGTCTTAATAACAATTTTATAATTAAATACAATGCCGCCGCTGACTGTGCGAAGAAACAAGCACTCGCGTGTGCTTTGTCCATCGCGAGGGCCCCGACCGCTCGGTACGCGGCTCCAATCAGATCGCCGCGAACGCGCTCGGATGCTGCGCCCATCTCTCCTCGGCATGCGTGAGTACGAGCGAGGCGCGTTTAACCTACATAAAGTGGAATCGTGATTGGGCGAAGTAAATGGCGAGCGATCTCCTCGGATAATCGATATGCAAGCACGGTATGCTTTTTCTCGCGCGGAGAAAGCCGATTTCGTTCGTTCGTTCGTTTGGAAAAAACAAACAACAAAAAAAAGAGGAAGCTATTGCGACGCGTGCGGCTCTAGCGGTAGCTCTATCTAGCGATTTACACGCACGATCCTCTTTGGCTTCGCGCACGCGCGTTAGAGGCAGTATCGCTCTAAAAATTTGATAACTTTTTTTTTTATTAAGCGACCGTGAATTGATACGACGCGAATGTTGCGTGAAAAATGTGTAACGCAACGCTGAGAGATAAATTCGAACAAATGGGAGAGGATTAGAGGGACTCAGCGCGCGTGGCTTACTCGCATTCCCACGATTATGAACTATTGAAGTATAACGCTTTGGTATTATCCTATCAACGGTGTGTATGATTCATGCTAGTCTTCTATTAACATTGTAACACCTTCAACGCATCTAAAAATCAGCGCGATTTCTGCAAATCTAGAATCACAGAAATTGTAGCACAATCGCCGCGTGTCAGAATCATGATAAGATCATATGATAACGTTATGTACGTATAAATTGAGTGATTGATTGGAAAAACATATATAAAAAGCTAAATATTGAAAAGCGTAATATCAAATGTATTTTGGAAAGTAATAATCTATTTTGAATTTGATTTCAAGTTGATTTACTGTCGTATATATGAGTATAATAAAAATTGTATTAAAATATACATGTCACGTAAAAATGCTCTCTGAAATACTTCTTACAAAGACTCTAAAATTCATTGTTCAAAAATATCTCTTGTAACGGGACAGCGCGATCGTACAGCGCTTTACAAGGCAATATTGAAAATTAGAAGTGGAGGACGATCAGGAAAGTGCACACGCTGCTCTTTTGTTCACAGGGTATTATCAGCCGGCTGGTCCACTGATACAGCACCCACCGCCGCCACCGCCAACCTTACCGCCCATTAAGGGCCCACCTCCGGAACCGACACCCACGCCTCCCCAAAACTCAGAGGGTTCGGACGATCTGGTCGCCACTTCCACGACTTCGGGAGGCACAAGCAGCACGGGTATGTTACTAATAATCGATACGTGATAATGCAATGATAATTAAAGATACGTTGCAAATAGAGAATCTCTTCTATCGTCATGCTTTTCTCTTTTATAAACGATTACTTGATATCGAGATGTTTTATATTTTCATATTAACAATTGCAATATTCTTTAAAATTTTTTATATTTTATCAAAGTATAAACATTTCCTTACTCTCTTGTATATAAAGCATTCATTTTTAATTAAAAAAAACATTAAGTAGCCTAAAGATTGAAAAAACCAATTCTTCTTTCTTACATTTTTCAATTGTAAAGTTGAAAACTTTAGAATAAAATTTTCCGTATCTTTTTACACATTGCGAAGGATTATTTTATAATCTCTTAATACTAATAATTAAATAACTCGATAATGATAATAATAAGTTGAAATGATAATATCTCATGATTAAGCAAATTTTGAATTCTCTTAGAATTTATTTCTTGAAAAAGTTTTTTTCTTCGATAACGAGAAATATATTAATGATATTTTTAAATAAAATTTTGCTAGAAAAAGCTACAAGTTACATAAGATAATTGTATAATTGACGTGCTATTGACGTATATCTTTTTTTAAGGCAATCTCTCATTTCATATATCAGACAGTTTTGCTATCTCGGTCCATCAGATAGATTTGCCGCTTAAGCAAATGTCGTCATACGTCCCGCTAGGGCAATGTATCGCTAGGCACATATATCAGATCTCGCATTTACATTAATGATTTTATCGTGCAACGTTCAACATAACATGGTTATCTATACTGGAAATGCATTAATGAGTAGCCGTGCAGGTGCATATTAAGATTGCATATAAGTGGTGCATGAAGGAGAGCGTCGAAAAAAAAAAGATCGACCTAGCTCGACCTTCCATTCCTTCGTTTTTTCTTTTATTTCGCGTCACTAGAATTTTTTTCGCGCTCTACGCTGCCACGTCAGCAATTTTTAGATTCTTTTTTTCGTGAATTTCAGCGAAACGAATCGCGTTACCAAAATTTATGAAAATTCGCTGACGGCGAAACGGGATACCTATCCCTGCGTGACGTCGCGCAGATCTTAATGGAAACTCCTTTTTTTTCGCGTGCCAGAAATGGATTATGAATGTGTTATAAAAGCGGCACGCCGTATTAAAATGCAAAAAAAAGTGATGTGCATTACTTAGCCGTTTTTAAGTAGGACAAAAACATCGCGTCGGTTTAAGATTAAACCACGAGAGCGTGTATTCTTCTGCGTTTTTTATGCGTGCAAATGGTAATGTCGCGCTACGATATTAGCGTGTTATAAGCGACTCTAAATCATGCGGCGCATTGACGTGAGCGCGCAGGGCTAATAGCGCGAGCACTCACGGGCTTAATTGGATGGAGATATCAGCCGCCTCGATAATATAGCGCTTGCGCTACCTTCGAACGCTATATCAAGATGTGAAGTATAGCATGCCGGGCCAAAGATTGTCCTTCGGTGCTGATGACTCGTACTATCAAACATGTTTAGACTTGAGAGTGATCGTTATTTAGCTAGAGCTGTTCTTCCGGCGGAGACATATTGCATTATATAACTGAAATTATTAAATAAATTATACCATAAAACTTTAATCACGCGCTTAAATTATTACCTTCTTAGATGTTTAAGCATCTATTTGCCTGAGATTAGCATCTTAACGCACACATTTTATTCTTTCCTTTGGAGATTTAAATCTTTTGCGATACTTAAATGTTAATTATATATAATATTCCCTTTAGTGGGTAATGCGGGCAAATTATCTAGCGATATCCCTTAACGTCTCATGAAGTGGGACGTCCATCGTAACTGTCAAGCGAATATTCGTCGTTTTGCAAAATCGATCATCGTGCATTCAATGGGGGATACGCATGGGATGAATGAACGGTCGTTTGTTACAGGTGGAGGATTTTATAGGACATATTGCCCGCAGTACTACGGCACGCCGCCGCAGTATCCGGATCTGTGTTATCCGCCGACGTATTCTCATCCTCATGCTCATCCGCCGCATTACTACAAATACCCGCCCACTTACAGGAGGTAAGAGATTTATTCGCGTTCGACGCTTTGCATGATGACGCGAGCGAGAAGGGGGCCAGGAGGGATGCCACTTTGAAGAACGGCGTATGCGCACGTTCCGCTGTTGTCGTAGCATTATCGAGAATCTGTTTTCGTTAAGTGGCACATTAATCCTAAAGCTCATAATTATTACGTAATGCCGGTATAACATATCGTTGCGTCATCCTCAGAGCGGTATACGAGTTTTTCAGAACCCAAACTAATCTTCTTATAAATTTGCAACTTCTCATAACTTTTTATAAATTTTTTAATTTTAATATCAGGACGTTACTAGCTTGTTATTTTATCTATTTTTTTCTATTTTTTACTTTACGATAAATAATCAGTTGATCAGTTTAGTTTCTGAAAGGCTCATATATAATGAAAAGCAACAGTTTACTTTGTTAAAGCATTATCGGGCGCCGTCGTGTTTTCCTTTCGTGGCGATAATTCGCTTCTTCAAATCCGTATTTGTAGAACATATAAATGTTTACGAAGCGGCGGTTTATAAATGTTAAGTATTGAATTGCACAATATATGTATAATAAATACACGCGCTGTTGTATGCATCTCGCTTGAAACATTATCGTTATCACAATCGTTTCATAATATGCAAATTATGTTTACGATTAAACCAGATTTTGATCTAGCTTTGACGAGAAAGAAATAAAGGTTGGAAATAAACTGTTGGAAAAGCAGCCCATCATATAAAATTTCAGTTTTAGCGTGTTTTTAAGTTCACTGTTACGAAACAAATTGTGGTTACATGTATTGACATTAACAGAACCGTTCGATAGTACTGCATTATCCAGATTGTTTGAAAACGCATATAAAAAAAACATATGAATTCAATATTTTTATTCCGTTTACACGTACAATATTTGCACATTGTTATTTTTTTTACATATCGTTATAATATTCAGTAGTTTTAGTAGCAAACAGAATATTCTGTCACACATTGCAATACATTTGGGTCACAGATGATGCTAACTTTCCGAAACCGTCGTTATCTCGCTTTTAATGAAGAAGTGAAAGCTGCAACTAGACCGTGGCAAAGTTGCTTTTTGCCGCAAAAGTCGCGGGAATTAAATAGCAAATTTTAACACGCACAGTAACTTTTTAATTATTTGTTTTATTGCCGTAAAAAAAATCTTTTAATTTTATGTATTCTCGGCTTTTGTTATATATATTTGTGCATTAAGATGCAATTAGAGCTATTTACATAATTTGCTCAAATTCATATTTAATTCGTAAAAGAATTCGTACATGTCCATAGTATACAATTCTTCCAATCAAATCATTATTAGTGCCACGGATATTTTCGTCACGGAAAAGTTCCAAATCGATTGAAGAATATATCGATCAAGGGAATTATGCGGACGACCTGAATATTTCTTTCGACTGTAAATTTAGGATTCCTGCCGCGATTACGTATATGACTCAAGTTTGGTGGAATTTATCTCTGATGCATGACAACGCCTCCTTTCTTGGCTTTCATCTGGTTGTTTGTTTACTCATAGTAAGAACCGATAAGGGGCAGACCGGATATTCGACGTGCATGGCTATTTCGTATTTGCTCTTTGTCAATGCATTTCGTAAAGAGAGGGTATCTTTTCAGGCAATACTATGGCTATCAGGAGTCCGGTGGGGGTGGCGGACCGCCGCCGGGCAGCGGTGCCGCCGGAGGTGGCCCTGGAGTCGTTGATTACCAGCCACCTCCGCCACCGCCGGGCGAATATCCGCTACCCTATTACGGGGGATATCCTCCGCCCCCCCATCCGCCGCCGCCACCTCCTCCGAATCCGGCATATCTGCATTCTCAGGGAAGACCTTTCGTAGACCGTAAGTATCATCATTTACCAAAGAGAACTGCGTGACGTTGCGCTGCGAGGAATATTCAGAAATTCCATCTCGTTCTCTTTCCCGTTTCTATTTCTCCCCTTCCTACTTTCACTTAGATTTTCCGGAATTTATTTGATTAGATAGAAGGTCGCGCCGACAAATTTGGTTTGAATGTGATATGGAGCTGATATGTACTTTTTCAGCATTTTCAAATTTCTGAGTTTAATAAAATTTAAATACGTGTTTCTAATAAGCTGATATATTTTCTTCTTTCCTATTTAAAAATCAGTTTTTAGAACAAGATAGACAGAGATGTACTGGTTTTTTTTTATTGTTCTCTGGAGTATACATATAAATCAACAGTAATTTTAATATTATTATTTATTAAAAATTTTTACTTGTCTCTTTTGAGAAGAACATCCTGATTTTTTGTATCATAAATTACGTAAAATTATGTATTTTTAAAATTATACGAGAAACGTAAGCGTGCATTGCATGCATCCAATTGATGATTATTTATTGGCTAGAGAATTTTTAGAATCATGATTTATTCTACGAAATTCAGAAGTTTTTAATTAAATAATCAATACTATTAATCCTTAATTTTTCAAGATGTATTCTTGCCATATTTTTGGACGTGCTCTATTAAACACCTCAAATGGCTGAAAATTTAATAGTCCTCCTCTTTTACCCAATGCTGCAGCTGTATCTTTTGATCTCTATATAGAAAGAGATTTCTAGAATTTCAAGGATTCTCAAATACCCCATGTTACGATTCTTTTGAAATTATATCTTTGGTTGAGCCTGTAGTTCTGCAGTTAATTCTTTCTTCTCTTTTGCGAAAGTATTAAAATGAATAGAAAAATACTTTGAGAGGATCTGAAAATTATCATAGTTCTCTGTCATAATATATTTCGTTCAAGTCGTAAGGGCGTTTACATGAGCTTTGTGACGCTACAGAGAATCCGCTATGGATCCGTTCAGATGAATCATTTTGCGATCCGACAATCTCTTTTCGGGTCCGCGACGCTTCTTTGGAGTCGGCCTGTGTGAACGCGTCGGCGCTTTTTTTGCGGCATTACAAAGTAGTCCGTGAGAACGAGCTCTAAAACCTGCATCACGCATTGGAGATTGGGGATTGCGAATTGAAAATTAGGAATTCGACCAATCAGATAATTTAATTTTCATCCGTTTCGTTCTGATTGGTCAAATTCTAATCTCTAATAGCCTCAGTTTCCAGTGCGTGTGACATGGACTTCTAAGGCCCATTCCTCAACAAAGCGTTAAAGTGACGCATTTTTCCGACAGAGGGCTAAGGAAATAATCAAAATCTGCCATTTTGATCAGTACAAAGTTATCGTCATTTCCGTGCAGTCATTTCCGTGTAGTGTTATACGTGACTAAAAATTACTTCCTGTTCTTTTTCTATTGTTTCCCGATAGAAAGAGCTGAAGACAAGAGTAAAAGAAATCGTACTCGTAGCTTTCGCTGATGAATTTTTTCATTCAAATATTCTTTGTCCCGTAGCTAAATATGTCATATATTTTTTTTCTATCTTAGCGACAAACTATATTGTGAGCTTTTATTTGTCCACTATATTTCCATTTATAAATTTATAAATTTTGTTTTGATATTTTTTTTTATAATGTTCACAATAAGTTGCTATTTTCTTCCTATTTTTGCCTCAACTTAATATTTCGATTAATGATTCCGAAGACGAGCAATGGAAACACTGCTGAAAGAAGTGTGTATAGGTGCGAAATTCTATTTTGAGGAATAAAATTCAAACAAATACGAGCTATATTGAAATTGAATTAAATTTTATATATTAAATTGAAGATTGAAGGTTAGATTGAGAATTGCGAGTTAGAGACCAGAATTCCATCAGAAACGAAACGGATTAAAATTAAATTATTTGATCGAATTCTACCTTTGTACGTTTAATCGTCGAACAGATCGAGCTTTCGCATCCGAATATTCCGACAAAAACGGAGAGATGGTATCATCGCGCGGTATTTACCGATCTCGTTTGTGCCCGCAGCCTTTCAGGGTTGTCCATGCCCGATGCAATCGTGTCCAAAAAACGTGGATACTGGGGCCCTTATTGGTAATGGTAAGGGAGCGCCAGTGGTATCGGGGCCCGGTCTGTCATTGCCACCCAGTGCTTTGGTAGGTCCGCCCTCGCCAGCGAGGGGGCTAGCTGGGCTAGCTCCCCCTCACGGTGCCAATGCCTGGGACACAGATCGCGTCCAAATCAACACTCATCGCAACCTAAATCAGAACCAACCCCCCTCGGTCCCGTCGTCGCACAATCTAGTCGGCGGGCATAGTCGCCTTCAAAATCAAGACTGTAGGAGTAAGGTATGTGTTCAATTAGCTCTTATGCTTGATCAACATCTTGATGAGCCGTTTTACCTTGATTTCCGATCGATCCCGAGCCGTGATATAAATGTATAGATAGAAAAGAGACGAGTTCGATCGTCATATGCGTTTAAGATACATAGATGTATCAATTTTGCATGACGATATTTCTTTAGAGAAATGCGCGCAATATAAATATTTTTACGAACAGTTTGAATTTTTGATATCAAATATTTTGGTAACACTGTATGTTGCGCGGGGAATATCAGGTTTTAAAATATAATTTCAATTAAGCAAAGATTGAGAAATTAATGTATTTCACTCTTAAAAAACTACCTTTTTTTAATATAATAAATAATTTCCTTTATTTTCTTGATAATAACAAATAATTCCGACAAAAATATTATCTCAAAAATAGCATTACGAGAATAGCATTTTAATATACGTAGGTGTATGGATATTTCATATTTTGTATACAAAACGCATGATTTTATCAGTCTGAATAACTTGTAAATTTATCGGATATTTCGATTATCGAGAAAAAGTCAAACATTTTATTTTCGTGCCGATATACGTCATGCTGTAACTGAAAATAAAACAGTTAATCAAGTGACAGATTGAATCAAAAGGCCGCGAGCCTTGTTTTTTCAAAACCTCACAGATTTATTGCGCGATGATGTCAGAGTCGCGCATGTGTAACCCGGCGAATTTCCTTTCTGCCATCCCCGCAGGACGAGCAGAATTGTACGGAGGACACGCTGAGGAAATGCGGTTGTCAGAACGCGTGCACGTCCACTTGCGAGGTCAAGATGGAGACGCTATCGCCCACCGAGAAACTGTCTGTAGCGGCGAGCTGTCCCAGCAGCAAGTATCACAATTTCAAGCTAGAGAATAACAATGTCAAATGCGAGTCCTGCAGTATGGAGATCGACGGGCTGCCGTGCGTCGCCAATTGCAATGTCGTCAAATGCGAGTCGGATTACAAGTGCGACATCATGAAGTGCGAGCAGTGCATGAAGGAGGGACAGATAGCGATACTGGAGATGGACAAGGATTCCGGTATCGTGTTGGACGACAAGCTCGACGGTGATCCCGACGTGAAGGAGGAACTGGACGTAGTGGTGATCGACAGTGACGAGAGCTGGAAAAAGCCTGATTACGAGCCGACCGTGCAGGAGACTGTCGACGATAAGGAGGAGGAGGAGGAGGAGGAGGAGGAAGAGGAAGAGAGGGAAGTGGAGAAGGAAATTGTGCAGAGACCGATCGCGACCAAGGTCGAGGCCGAAGCTGAAACCGAGGAACAGCCCAAGTGCCAAAAGGTGACGAAGAGGAAGCTCTCGTTGGATAGCTTATCGGACAGCAGAAAGAAGAGAAAAGTGAGCAAGAGGACCTTGTCGGTGGGCTCGTCTCAAGATGCGAATAACGAGGAATCGGTCATTGCGCCAATCGAGCCGCTGTCGAATAATGCGACCGATAGCGTGACGACCGCCCCGAAGAAGAAGCAAGCGAAGAAGGACGCAGGATCGCGGGGTCAAAAGCGAAAAGCGGAGGCGCCGAGCGCGAACGAGAGCGCGACTAAGAAGGTGAAGAGCGGCAAGCAGAGCATCGTGAATTGCTTGAAACGGACCGCCAGCGATATTTCGATAATGGAGACCATCGACGATGTGATACAGCAGAGTCTGCAGATGACGCAGAGGAAAGATCGCAAGAGCAAGAACTGCGTAGAGAAGAAGAAGAAGTGCGTCAAAGAGGAATCGTTACCGGCGGCGAAAAGGCTCGCGAAGAAAATCGATCAGGTGAAGGAGCAAGTTATTGAGAAGGTGTCAAAGGCAGTTTCGAAGAATGGTCAAGTCAAAGGCAAGGCGGACGCGAAGCCGAAACTGAAGGCTTCTCAGGAGGCCAAGGCCAAGGTTGGCAAAGGCAAGATCGGCAAGATCGTGGAGACGAAGGAACAGGATACAAAACCCAGGGCGCAGGATTTGAAGGCGCGGGACGGCTCGAAGAAGCGCGATATCGTGTCCAAGACCAAAGCGAGCGACGTCAGCGAAGATCCGAAAAAGTCGGCCGTAATTAAGAAGAAGCGAAAGAGCGCGAAAAAGGTGGTGAACGCCAAGAAGTCGGGCTGCAAGGTGGAGAATTCCTCGCTTGGAAATGAGAGCCTGACGTTAACGAGAAAAACGTTCCTGAAACCGAAGTGGAACAACGGATGGAGCTGGGAGGGGGAGCCCTTTGAAGCCAAAGTTTATCTAACGGTAAGAATAATTAAACTTGTAGATATACTTCTAGTCTAGAGATTTTATTCGGACATTGGTATTAATTAATTGAAAAATCAGATTCACATTATCACATAGCAATAAAAGACAAGAGAAAAATTCGTTGAGCTCTAAAGACATATCAATAAATCTTGATTTTTTAATCATTTTTTTTTTGTGTCGCTTGCCATTATTGTCTTGAATTAAAAACAATCTAATTAATAAAATTTGTATACGGTCTCTATACTATAGTTTTATATATAAATAATGCGATGAAGGAAAATCTTATTTGTGCTGCCATATAATTATCTTTATAATATCGTGCAAAATTTGGAGTTTGTAGAATAATGCTACTTGATTAAATTAATATAATAGCATTAAAATGTATGCGCGCCGTTTACTGCAAGATAAATTCAAAATAATTTTGCTTCACATTCTTACGTGTTACAACCGCAAATAAGTCTGCACATTTTACGTATGATTTTTATGTGCAATTAATTGCCATGTGATGATGCTAGCCGCTGTTTGTTAGCGCGAGTCTAGACATATCGTCCGCTGATAAAACCTAATCGAATTTTGAAATGTATTGCCTTAGAATGAAGAAACGGCCATACGGCGATGTTACGCGAGTATGAGTCACGAGAGCGGCGACGTATTGCGGCCTCGGGACTGTGTATTGCTGAAGAGCGGTACGCGAAAGGGTGACTTGCCGTATGTAGCGAAGATTGCGGCGCTGTGGGAAAATCCGGATGACGGTATATAGATATCCTCGATCGCGTGAAACGCAGAAACACCCCCTCTCTCCTTTAGATTTGATGAATTAATATCGCGCTGTTCTGCTTTCAGGCGAGATGATGTTCTCGTTGCTGTGGTACTACAGACCTGAGCACACGGAACAGGGACGGACGCCACACGACAGCGAGGACGAGGTATTTGCCTCGCGTCATCGGGATGCAAACAGCGTTGCTTGCATAGAAGACAAGTGTTACATCCTGACGTTTAACGAATACTGTCGGTGAGCAATTCTCTCTTTCTTTATTATGGCATAATGAAATTTAGTTAAATATGTGTATTTATTTATCATTTCCAAAGCAGACAAGTTATATCATAATAACAACAACCTTGTAATTTTTCATTTTTCTCGTATAAACAAATACATGGGATGAAAGTCGATCAGGCTCGAACCCGAATCTTATTAAGCAGCCGCTTTTACACAGAGCTACGTGTCATCCTAAATTTAGTTCAATATGTTTCACGGATATATATAGATTTTAAAAAAGTGCTTTTAATATCTTTTGGATTGATAATTTATTTACGTAATTCAACTTAACAAATTATATTTATATTGATCGGAAATAACTGACATAAAAGTTTTTTGAGCTTTTGTATATTTCTTAAATCTCTATTAATAATAAAGCTAATATAAAGATTTGCCATATAAACTTGTATATAAATTTGTCCACGAAATTAATGTTGAAAAACGTAATTTCTTCCTCTTAATCAAACAGAATCGGCTTACATTGCTGCATATTGTTTTTTTATGTGATAGGTATCGTAAAAACTTGCGGAGGATCGAAGAAGGCTTAGAAAATCCTGGCTTGATAGTTCCGCCAGGGGACCAAGTGTATCCAAGGGAGAATCGGCAGCCTCCTATACCAGTACCGTCAGACATGGTGCTTTTCTGCCGACGTGTTTACGACTATCGTGGGAAGAAACTCGTGAAGAACCCCGGATGACTCGAATTCCTGTAAGATGCAAACCGAGGAAGCTTAGGTCACACATTGAAACTGGCCGCAGGTCTCCTTTCATGCGTAATTGCGTCGCTGTTGATCGATTTGTCTTGATTTCGAGGGAATGACGAGATTCGATTGTTTTTGTAGTGAATTACCGATTCCGCGAACACACACACACACACACACACACACACACACATTCTCTATTTCTTCCACTTTCCATCACGTTGCGTTTTACGCGTTTGCTAAAGGAACAGCTTTTGTGCAGAGAAACATTCGGTTGTGTCCAAAATTATTAAGAGAAAGTGAAAAAAGTAGATGAATGTGCGAGTGTTTCAAAAACAATTGGATTCTTCTATCCTTAAATGTAGAAAGATTTTTAGAACATCGTGTCAAGAAAGACTCGCAGAAAAAAAAAGAATAGCACCTCAAGTATATCCTCATGTATATCGTAAGGCTACTTTTATCGCGCCGCTTATATTAATCGGTCTTTCTATTCTGCTCGTCTGCGATACCACGGAAATCATGATGAATCGTTCATTAATTCTGGTGATAGATGTTGCGTGGAATTCATGCCGGCGGATCGGGCGCGAGGAAGCGCGCGCCGGAGCGTTCGGGTCGAAACACATAGATCAATTACAAGTACCGGACGATATTTTTCCAAGGATGGCATTATCCGCATGTTCCTCTCGCGGGCGATTGCGAACTTTCGCCCCCGTATTCTCCATTTTCTTTTTCCGCCGGCACGAACGAAGCCAACGTTACAATCTCGATAACGTGTATAAGATGTTTCTAGGCGAGTTAGTGGAATTTGACAATTTTATAGAGAGAATCATATTTTTTGTGAGATAGCATTTTACACAACACTTAAATGGATATTTTTCACATAGGAGATAACAAATGCGCGACGCCGCAATGTCGTGCGTCCGCGGCGCCTTAACTTGAAGGGAACCTACGAACAGTTTCAAAGAATAAGGAATCAAAAGCAGGGACGAAATATTGCGATTATTTAGCGAGAACAGCGTTATATATATATATATATATATATATATATATATATATATGTATAAGTGCTCTACCGAACTCTCCGATTAGGACCGAGCGCCCTTGTTGCGAAGGGCGAAACATCAAGCGTGTGCGACATTACACTTCCATTGTCCCGTGTGTTTGCATCTGTCTCGGGGACGCGATTTCTCCCCGAAATCTGACCCGCGCACATATGACATCATCATCGTAAACATAATCATTGTAATGTAAAATGCATTTTTACGAACAGTGCCGAAGACAAAATGTTTCAAGACTGGAAGTGGCTCGATTCGTATCGAAGAATTTAATTTAAGCTTGCATGCGAGAAACAGTCGCCTTTGAATTAACATCTTTCATAGATATCTTGAATATCGATAAGATTTTTAAGTTTCTAAATATCCTGAGAAATTTGTTGTCAACCGGGTGTCATGGTACTCTAGAATATTTTTGCATTCCGATCTAAAACAAATTAAGTAATATTGACGTAAAATTATATTTTTTACAATAGTTTAAATTTTTAATATGTTTAACTAACGATCAATTTGACGAAAAGATACGTGGATCAAGCCATTTCTACCAAATAGGTCGCATCTTATATTTAGTAAAATCTTTATTTCCTCGTTTTTAATTAATAACTCCTTCCATAAATGCAGGAGACACAGACATTTAATTGTCAGGGACGTTTGTGTTTTGACCTGTCACGCACCGCGAGTCGCGCTTCTACGTGCAGTTTTGATTTACGTATACATATAGATATATGTATATGTATATGATTATTCTTTTTATTTGTAACGATCTCTAAGATCTATAATGAGAGAGAATTGTAGTTGTACATTATCGCCTATAAACTCTTAGGTATATATATAGATATATATATATACATATATATAATTTTGATTCATAAAGAATCCACATATTAGCAGTTAGTCAGTACTCGCGGTAGAATGCCAAAAACAACCAAAACATATTCACGAATTAACGAGAAACCTTTTTTTTTTTTTTAACGCAGACTATTAATATTATCGCGACGTACCAAAATTTTCTCATGAGATCATTAATAAGTAATTTCTATGGGAATTCCTCGAATCATGTTAATTTTATTTGTTGAGTGTAGCGGGCGCTTTGTTGGAAATCATATTATTTAAAATTAATATATTGATATGGTTATTATTTAATATCTAATATATTGGATATATATAGGTATTAAGTTATTTTGCGAGAGTATGGTAAGGAAATAGACGAAAGCGCGCGCGTGTTTACGGCTGTATGTATGTGTATGCGTGAGATGGGAAAAGAAAGAAAAGAGAAGAGAGGATAAAATGACGAGCCACTGTTACAGATGAGCGAGTAAATCGAAAACACGATAGAGAGAAAGAATGTGAAGAGAGGAGTGTGGGACGATGGTGTTTATGACGGATCATGTTTGTGAGAAATTTCGCGATACCAAAACATTCTTTCACGTGCAAAATCTTTTCCTTGCGATTCGAAGTGCGTCTCATAATGTATCCGGATAGTCCTCGACGAGATGCGCTCGACGTATTTCATAAGGAATCGACTTAGTCTTACGTAAAACATCGTGAAAACAACACAAACGCGTGGGTTCCGACGAGCGCCGCTTCAATCGAGTGCTGAAGAGATAAAAAAAAAACTCGCTTCGAGTCCTTACGCAACGACGCACTTCCTCTTATCTTCGTGTGCACATATCGGGACCGAGAGGGATAAGATGTGTCCCGTCAACGTCTAAACGCGAAAATTCCAAAGAGACAACACACCCCCGCAAGGGAATGCGAATCGCGCGGCGCTCGTCGGTAGTCCACCGGGTTTCTTGCGTAATCTTTTTATAGATAGTTTTATATTCCTTTTTAACGCGCAAAGAAGAGATAAGAGAAATGGGGTGCGAAAGAGATAGTTTTTTCTACGGGGAAGAAATCGGTAGCGAATCCGGGGAGAAAAAAAAACGGTGATACAGGGCGAAACAATAAGACATGCCGGAGAAATATCAAGAGAGGGGCAGGAGATTGAGAGAAAAACGGGGAGAGTTATACACACACACATACACACACTTGTGCGCGACTGTGTAGTGTCGCCGAAGCGAAGAAAACGCACTCGTGGAGATCATTGAAATGAAACAGGCGGACGGAGCGCCTGTGCAAATATTGTGTATTCGCGCGTAATACCTAAATGAAAAAGAGAAGAAGGAGGAGAGAAGAAAGAAAGAGAAAGACAGAGAGAGAGAATTGCGGCTTCGTCGAGCCGCGTGCGCGCACGGTGCGGTTGTAATTTTCAGGAACTTACCTACCTAACGACGGTTAACATGGGAACATTGCACACACACAATGCATATCCTCTGTTCATTTTACGTAGCCGACAAACTTTTTCCATCACCAAGAGCGTGAGCGCAGTGAGACCTCCTTTAGTCGTTCGTAAGGGCTCGCGTGGTGCGCGAGGCTTGCGCTGCCTCCACCCTCCCGCCCGCCCGCTCGCCCCGCTCCCTCCTTGCATCCGCTTTAATCAAAATGCAACAAGTGTCGGCCGTGCGCGCTCAACGAGATCGGGTACGTCGTCAGTCGCGCCGTCGTCATATCGCTCGCTCGAGACGCTACGTCGATTACCAGCGTGACTGCAAATGACTTGACTCATATTGAGTATTCGTCACAATTATACTCATCATGTTAATCCTTAACTGTTAAGGCGTAAAGGGATCATATATTTGTATTACGAGATTAACAATTCATATCCCGCTGATAATAAGAGAGGAAAAAAAATATTAGATACATATTTTTTATTACCTTTCAGTGCGTTTACGTCAAACGAGACTATTTGTAGCGATAATTTTATTTATGTATTATATATATATATATATATATATATATATATATATACGCGATATATATATAGTTAGTTTTCAAAATGAAATATTAGTAGAAAGATCGGATCGTCAGTTAATTTTCAGACTTCATTTTCGTTTAGGAAGAATGTAATTTTACTTGAATGAATAAGAGTCAGCCCAGATAATACAAATACGTCGAAAAAAAAAACGTCATGAAACACTGTGAGACGGTTTGTAGATTCTTTTGTATTACTTGGGAGAGACAAGAGAAACATTATCGACTATCCCCGCGCGATCTATATATTTATTAAATCGTTGATTACACAAGCAAAGACGCTACAGCAGCGAAAGATATGGATAAAATCCGAATAGAGTTAAGGATTTAGCAATTAATTGTATGCGAGATCATTTTAAATCATTGGCATATACCGACAAAAGATTGAAACCGCAATATTTCTGACGTTTGCGATTCGATATCCCGTTGTTGACGTATTCTCCAGCGTGCGAGCCGCGATCGTTGCCCGATCTCGAGAACGCGACCGGTATTTACGAATACCGATCAACCCGATGAACTTTCAATGCGCGGCGTTACGCGGTTTGCCGTGCGGATGCTCGATTTCTTCTGGTTTATTTGTCAGAACAGAAGACGCACGATTTTACTGTACTTGTAGGCGGTGCCTCGTTCTCGTAGCTGCGAGATTTGTTATATCCTCCTACCGTCGCGTGTTTTCTTCTTTTTTTATCTATGTATTAAACGCATTTAATGTAGCGCAGTACATTAATGAACTACATGACATTAATGAGTAGACATGAGCTAATGAATTTTGAGATCATTGGATAACTTTTATATTCGAAGATAAGATTAATGAATTTTTTTAAATCATTGGACTTTTATATTCAAAGATAAGATTCAGTAGCTTGACACTAAAATAAATGTCTGCTCCTTTTATTTACGCTTTTACGCGAAAGTCATTTTATATAGCATTATTTTAAATCATTTTTGTTTGTAAATCATTGTAAAACATATATCTCTTTATGTTTTCTTTCATATTGGTGTTTCTAATGTATACTTCTAATTAATATTTTCTAAAAATATTTGACAATACTTTGAAGTATCAGATAACATTTCAATGTATCTGAAATGTAAATGTAAATTATATATTATATTATTCACTGAAATTACCTTACCTAATTTTATTGCTTGGCTTAGAACAAGACGTGAAGCTTAATGTGAGATAGAAATATTGCAGAGTATTTAGTTACATCTATATTACATACTAAAATATACTTAATATGAGATGAGATACATGCAACACATGTTAGCTTATTATAAATTGTTCTCTGGAGAAAATAAATGGCTTTACGTAATTTATCAGATTGCATATCTAAATAAATACGTATTTAAATTAGCATAATCTCCTTTTCTTCCAGATTATCGATTAAGTGGCAAGCCAAGCAATCAGATTAAATATGAAAACTAATATATTTTTTTTTTTTTTAAAGAAACTACATATCGCGGTTTTCAGTTTCTCGTTTAAGAGAATTTCATTTACATAAATGATAAATTCCCTTTTTAGACACGCGACCGAATTTTCGATGTAGCCATTGCTACTTCTATTCATTTCTAGAATTGTATCAATTATCGTGTTTAATCATGTCGGAATAAGAGCGCAAGACTCGCACAGGCGGATTACGTCCTTGAAGAAACGAGGCACGCCTAGGAATTGCATGCTTGTAATTGTATATCGTTGCAGAGCGTTCTTGAGCCGAGAATTGTTGGCAGAAATAAACAAGAAGTCTAATTTACCAAGTGTCTTACTGTAAAGTATCTACTCCGGTTATACCAATAAATGATGGATACGGGTTCGCAGTATGAAGACAGAAGTGTCAAGTGATTCGACGTTAATCATATACGAACTCTGGAAGTCGCGAAACGTTCGAAAATATCAATTTTCGAGAAACTATATCTATTTGTATCGTCATTACTGTAAGAAGAGGGACACGATTACGTCCTATGATGAAAAATTTACTCCTACTTGTATGCACAACCCTTAGAAAAGCCAAAGTATTAATTTATTTTTGTGACTTCGAGAAATTTGCGATA